CCCAGAACGGTCCAATTGGTTGTTGTGTTCCTTTAAACTTCTTTTAACCTAGAAAAAAAACTGCCTTTTCATTGACTGACTTTTTGAAGAGACAAATGAGTTGTAATGTAAAATGCCATGCCTTCTGGGTTAGTTTATTTACTTCCTCATGGTATTTGTTTAAATTGTTTGTCTATTCCCTATCTTTGCTAAAAAATTACAGTTATAGCTAAAGATTTGAATATATACAAGTTAAATATTTCTGGACAGATGGAATATATCATCAGAAGACACAATATCTGGTTACGTGATCATTAGTGATGCTAAGATTGATTTCTCAGCTCTGCAATGTGGCCGCCAACAATTTACAAAACCCTGGGCTCCGTTATGCGTTAAATATGTCTTGAGGGGATATCCTGCAGTCTCAACCACCATGTGCAACATTGTTGCAGTGAGGAAACACTTGAGAATCTTCAGCAACCCATCTACAGACTAACATTTTGAAACAGTCATGCCTCTTAAGGAGGGGGATATGTTCTGAGAAATGTGTCATCAGGGGATTTTGTCATTGTGTAAACATCATAGAGTGTACGCACACAAACCTAGATAGTATAGCCAACTACACACTTAAGCTATGTGATATACCCTGTTGCTTCTATGCTACAAACCTGTACAGCGTGTGACTATACTGAATACTGTAGGCAACTGTAACACAGTGGAAAGTATTTGTGTATCTAAACATCTCTAAACAGAAAAGGTACAGTAAAAAATATGGTATTATAATCTTAAGGGACAACTATCCTACATGCGGGGTCTGTCATCGATCAAAATGTCGTTACGTGGCGCATGAGTGTACTTCCTTTGGAAGCAAACTGCCTGTAGTTAGTTTTAATTAAAAATGGACCTTCAAGTAAGAGGGCTTGTCTTTTTATCTCCAAGCCAGTGATGTTTGCTGCCAACAAAGCCTTGGCCATCGCATTGCCTAGTGACAGTTTCAGGTCTCTGATGTAATTTCCCCAGTTCCTCCACCTTTCCTCTCACAACCAGCTTTTCAGTCTTTCTTTATCACTGTGGTTCTTCTCTCTCCCCACCCCACCCCCAAGGAGGCTCAAAAATGAACACAACAGGCCTGGCGCGGTGGCTCACGCCTGTAATCCTAGCACTCTGGGAGGCCAAGGCGGGCAGATTGTTTGAGCTCAGGAGTTCGAGACTAGCCTGAGCAAGAGTAAGACCCTGTCTCTACTAAAAATAGAAAGAAATTAATCGGACAACTAAAAATATATAGAAAAAATTAGCCGGGCATGGTGGCGCATGCCTGTAGTCCCAGCTACTCGGGAGGCTGAGGCAGAAGGATTGCTTGAGCCCAGGAGTTGAGGTTGCTGTGAACTAGGATGACGCCATGGCACTCTAGCCCAGGCAACACAGTGAGACTCTGTCTCAAAAAAAAAAAAAAAAAAAAAATGAACACAACATCCCTAGAAAATACTGTGGAACTCAGATCCATTATTGCATTTCAAGTTTGAGGATCTTGGGAGTTAGCAATTGGGAGTTAACAATTGTGAAATGGATTTGCAAATTCGAATCAAGAAACTAAAATTCAGAAGAACATGTGCCCCAAAAAGTGGTTTTTAAGTGCTATCTTGAGTACTTCTTAATCTTCAGCAATTATCATTCATGAAATCAATATGATAATATGATGCTGGTAGAGTCATCGTGACCAATATTACGGTAATCCTCCACTTAATGAACTGCTTGAACCAGAAGTCAATGTGATCAAGGAAGTCTCTCTGAAACCCAGAAGACCTGCAAATCTGCATCCAACCCACCTTCCAGGGGAAAGAAATAATCTTTGAAGCTCAAGCTGAAAACTTAGTCAAATATATTAATGACATGGTTTTTGAAAGTACAAAGCAGGGGATATGGAGGTGGGACAAGTATATAAATACTGGCTATGGCGAGAGGGGTTATTGGAGGTAAAGTTAATATGACTAAAAACTGGTCTGAGTCCACTAAAGTCATTTTCCCCAAACTAAAGCAGAGACAATAAAGATATAAATCTCTAACAACTAAGGAGATGTTGTTCTCATCAAGAGTGAGGCAATCCCAGTCTCTTACAAAGGCAGGTCTATGCTGGTGATTCACATAAACATATTTATTTATTTTGAAGATCTTTCTTAGAAGAGACAGTAAACTTATTTTATGAATTTAAAGGGCAGATCGACAGGTAACACAGGGAGGCAGATTTCACCTTGCTGACAGGAAGAATTTTTTTATTATGGTAAAATATACATAGCATAAATTTATCATTTTAACCATTTTTAAGTATATAGTTCATTGGCACTAAGTACATTCACATTCTTGTGCAACCATCATCAACATCCATCCCCAGATCTTTTTCATCATCACAAATTAAAACTCTGAAGCACATGAAACAGTAAGTACCCATTCTCCCCTCCACACCTCCGAGCCCTGGTAATAACTATTCTACCTTCTATCTCTATGAAGGTGACTATTCTAGGTACCTCATATTAGCAGGATCATACAATATCTGTCCTTTGTGTCTGCCTTATTTCACTTAACAAAATATCTTCACGGTTCATCCATGTTGAAGCATGTAGCAGAATTTCATTCTTTTTTAAAGCTAAATAATGTTCTATTGTATGTATATACCATATTTTGTTTAAGCCTTCTTCCATCAACGACATTTGGGTTGTTTCCACCTTTTGGCTATCATGAATAGTGCTGCTATGAACACAAGTGTACAAATTACTGTTCGAGTCACTGCTTTCAATTATTTTAGGCATATACCCAGAAGTGGAATTGCTGGATCATAGAGTAATTTTATGTCTAATTTCTGGAGGACTGCCATACTGTTTTCCACAGCTGCTGCACTATTTTTTACATTCCCACTAACAATGCGCAAGGATTCCAGTTTCTCAACATCCTTGCCAAAACTTGTTATTTTCTGTTTTTGCTTTTGCTTTTCTATAAGGGCCATCGTAACGGGCGTGAAGGAAGAATCTTTAATAACTAGTTCTGTACCACAGTGGGATCAACTGTCCCAACAGGTTGGGGTTCAATTTTAAAAAGATTGAACATACTGACATGTTCAGTTAGGCAGGTTGTGCATTGTTCAAGTGTGTCTGGTCACAGGGTGAGTAGGAGCTGAAATCCAGCTCGTGTTTTACATGCCAAGATGTGAACTGCCTCTTCTGGAAGGAGGTAGTAACTTTTTCTTTCCAGAAAATATTGTCAGCTTGCCAAGCCATATGCCCAGAGGGTCACCTATTACCTTTTTTTAAATGTAAACTAAGGCACTTACCTATAAAAGTTATTTGTTATTCTGGCTGGCTGACTCTCTCTCATAGAGAAGCTATAGATAGAATCCGAGATTAATGCACAGGGTAATACCTAGCCCAACCAGACTAGATGACTCTTAAGGCCCCTTTCAATGGTAGTAGATTCTTTCTGTGGATCTCTCTGATGGTTTGACAAAATAGTCCACAGATTCTTTGACACTCCTCACATTGACAGTTGGGCTCTACATGAACTCACTGCTTGACTAACACAATTGAGCAGAAGTGACACTATGCCAGTTTCCGGGCCCAGCCCTTAAGAAACTGGCAGCTTCCACTTTGTGCCTCTTGGGACACTCATTCTTGGAACCCAGCCACCATGCTGTGAGGAAGCCCAAGCCACAAGTCTCCACAAGTCTTTGTGGAGAGACCCACGTGGACAACTAACTAACACTCGACACCAAGCAAGTGAAGTATCACGGAAATGGATCCTCCAGCCCCAGCTACACAGAGCAAAAATGAGCTGTCCCAGACAAGCTCTGCCCAAATTGCAGATTGATAAGCAAAGTAAATGACTGCTATTGTTTTAAGCCACTACATTTTACGGTGGTTTGTTTAGCTGCAGCAGATAACGGGAACAGTATGCCATACAACATGACCAGTGCTCTAACCTCACGTTTCAACAATATGCTGACATCAACAGTGCACTGAAGGACTCCAAGACAGGCCTTCCCTGAGGAGCCCCCAATTTTTTTTGCACACGTCACAGGGAATGGCCTTTGTCCCTCATCTCCTCTCCCACCTCCAATTTAGTATGAAGTCCTGGTCGTGAGAAACATGCCGACACCTACTTTCTGCGGGAGTCTGCACCCTCATCGTTCGAATTTCTTGAGGAATCACAGGTTTCGCTGAGCCACATGCTGGAACCTTCCACAGACTCTCCTGGGCTCCTTCTTTGCTGTGGGCTAGTGGTCTATAGCCTTGGGGCGCTGGCTTCAAGGGACAGGATAGAAGCAAACCCTACTTGATCCAGTAAACTGCTGTCCACTTTGGCTCTCCAACTTCCTATAAGCTTACGAGGGCACACAAGCCAAGCAAAGGGACAGGGAACGCAGAGAAACCACCCTTGGCCCCCGGCTCCAGTTGCTCCATCAACCCTACCTCCCTAACTTGAGGAAGGGGATGTCTTCCTCTTGGAGGCCTTTCGGATTTCTGAGTCTCCTCTGTTAGAAACTCTACCCTCTCTCCCCGAGCCACCCCCACTTCATTTCAGAAAGGAAATAGTTAAAAGACTCTTGCCCTTGGGGCCTGGAAGGGGGCGGCAGCTTTGTGCTCTTTAGTGCTCAGTGTCCCAGGAGAGCCAGAGGGTTAGGAAGCTCTTGCGGTCCTAGAGTGGGGCAGAAGGTCTGGGAGCTTTGGGAGGAGAAGGGAGGACAGCCGGGAGGCGTGTTCCTCCGGAGTTTTCTTTTTCCTGCGAGCCTGGCGCGCGCGCGGACAGTCATCCCTCTGGTCTGGCGATCGAGGAGAGGCGGTGGAGCGGCTCCATCCCTCCCACCCGGTCGTCGCCGGAGGCCGGGGGCTCGGCGAGACCTCCCCAGAGAAGCTGTGCCTGGGAAGTTTTCCGAAGCCGAGGCAGCGGGGCCGCCGCCGCGCCGGAGCCCGGGACACCCGCCGCCCTCCGCGCCGCCCACCCTCGCCGGCTGCGGCTTCCCCGGGCCCAGGCGCCGCGCGGACCGGGCGGCTGTCCGCGCCTGCCGAGCTCCACGGTCGGTGCAAGTCTTTCCTGTCGGGCACTGGGACCGGGCCGGGGTTGGGGCGCGGGTGAGGGAGACGCCGCCTGGGCCCCGCGGTTGGGAGGAGGCGGGAGAAGCGTCCTCGCCCGGCAGCCGGGACGACCCGCCGCAGCAGGGGCTGGCACCGCCGGCCCGGGGGCGCGTGCTGGGGTGTGCGGGGAACTTCACCTCCCCAGGCGGGATTCGCGCTTTAAGCAAAAGCAGCCCAGCGGTTTTCCCTGGGTGTCCCCTTCTCCGCAGACAGACGGGAACTTTGAGGAACATCACGTCCTCGTCGCTCGCTCCAGAGCCTACTTGCGGAGTTGGCTCCGCAGCCTTTTCTTACTCGCCTGCGCCTGTTCCCCGCGCACCCTGGTCATGCCAAGGGTAGCCAAGGGCACTTGGTGTGAGTGAGGGACTGATGGGTTCTGGAAACCCTCAGCGTATGTAGCTCGTTTTGGAAACCAGCCTGTGGAGGTCTGGCCGTTTCGTTCTGGGCTCTCCTTTAAAGGGCACTTGTTGCCTTTCACGTGCAGAAAACAAGGGCTGTTTCTAGATAATCGGTCTCTGTTTACACCATCCTAATGGCTTTTCCTGATAGAGTTGGGACTGGGAGGCATAGTAAAGTCAGGCGTTGTCACTAAGGATACTTGCTAATTTCTTACCCAGAGAGCAAAACCACAGAAAACTTGTAAAAAGTTCAGAGTTTATTTGTTTTTCCCTCTGCTTGTTAGCTAATTGAGAAACACCTTGGCAATCATTTCATGTGAATTAAATGCTTTAAACTCGTGCCATTTTGGTAAGGCTGGAATTTCCAAATTACTAATTACAGGTGAAGTTTGATCCTGAGAGTCTGATATGTTGAATGGTTGAAGTGTAAGCATAAGGACTCTGTCCTCTTCCTTAATAATAGCCTTTGTGCCACAATAAGCTCTCAGACCCCAAACAGGAAGAATGCTGAATCCATAGACCATGTCCTTCATGTCTTAACCTGAGATGCTTCGCTAAAGCTATGACTGATTATGACTGATGATTCAAAGCACGGCTTGACTCAGATCCATGGAAATGAGCTGCAGACCCATCCTTGAAAGAGCATCCATTTGAGAGGGTTCTTTCATTTGGCTTTGTATTTTTCACCCAATGATAATATGGTATCCACATGCCTTTGCCAAGCATCCCCTTAGCTTTGCAGCTTAATGTGTGTACGGACCTGATAGAGATGCCATCAGAAATGATTTCTGTGGTGGTGTCATTGTTGGAGGATGAAGGAAGGTGTTTTCAATGGTAGCTGGCTCACACCATAAGAACCCACAATCTTGGCCTTCTTAGCTCCGGCTGTAACCAGCTGACAGAGCACACCAGCATGCTAGTGTTCAAAGCACCAGTGCGACCTTTGCTGAGGGGCATAACACCCACGATAGCCAGGTCAGTTCACGAAATGTCCTCCTAACAGACTCTAACTGGCAAAGAGCCATTCTGTTTCTCGAAAGGGCCTCCTCTCTCTCATTTTTAAGAAAACTATTTTGGAAGGTTGGGAAATGGGGATGCTTTAATCATTAAACAGCACAAGATGTTAAAGTATTTCTTTTCCCCCATGTCTGTGATCCAAAAAAGAAGATGACAATAAGCTTTGTTCTTGAGGTGCTGGTCTACGCTTTGGAATGGAGATGGTGGCATTTCATAGGTCTCTCAATATTTGGTCAAATACTCAGTAGGAAAAAACCATTTATAATTAAGCCCAGGTAGAACTGACAGGTACATGGCATGCCCCTAGTTTTGAAAAATTGATATTTTTATCACTTAGAATGAGCCACGTCCTATAAGCAAAATTAAGTGTCCTTCCACTTCTTGGTTATGAAACCTTGACCTAATCACTTAACTTCTTCAAGAGACAGTTTCCTCATGAGTAAAATAAGGATATCTCTCCTGCCTACCTAGAGTTACAAAGTTCAAGTCAATTCATAGACATATATATAATCTGTTACTATATGTTAAATGATATTATTTCAGGTTCCTGGGAAATATCTCTGGGGAAGGCAAGAATATGCAATACTTGTACTATATATTTACCTTACGCCTTCTATGCAACTGGAATAAATCTTATTTTGTCCACGTACTGACTAAACCTAAGCTTTACTGACTTCCCAAGATAACTGTCAAAATTCCTACCAACCTCGAATAGAGTCAGGAAAAGGACACAATTTTTAAAAATGACATGACCTGGGTGTATATGTCATAGACACATACACACACCATTGCATAACTGAGGTTATGGTCTTCATTTAAAGATTCATAAAGGCCCACGGAAAAGGAAATATACAAAATATTGAAATATATGGTGCTATTTTTATTTACCTTTGACTGTTCTGTTACCGTAAACCCCCCTTGTTTTCCCAATGTCTTTTCCTTAAGGATTGAAGGAGAAACCTAGACTTCTTGGACAAAAGGGACCACTTGCTCTCTGCAAGTGACTTTAAAAATTAAAAAAAAAAAAAAATCCAGATAGTAATTTCAAAACTGTCTAACCACCCTCCCAAGTCTACTGTTTTATCTAAACTCTGGAAACTTCTGTATAACATTTTTGGTACAAATAAGACACAAGAATGAGAGACAGAATGGTTTAGTCTGGTTAAAAGCTCAGGCTTGGAGTCAGACTGACCTGCCTTAGATAAATCGCAGAATTGCTACCCACTGCCTGTAGTCTGGACAAGCTACTTCACCTTCCTGAGCCTCTGTTTCCCCATCTTCAAAATGGAGCCAAGTGTCCACGTCACAGGATCATCGTATGGATTCCGGGGGCATCATGAATATAAAGTATTTGGCACAGTGACTGGCATATAATAAATGTAGCTGTATAGGATGGTATATAAAATAGCATGGGGACTGATGTCCCTTGGAAAACCAAATACTATGACTAGCCTGGGAAGGTCCGTTTCATTCATTGGCAAGTATTGTGATGTTAATTTGTGAGATATGAAAGTGAAAAAAAAAACTGTTAAAAGATACAGATTTTACACATTAACCATCAAGATTTTCAAAATAAATATTTTGTTTTTATCAATTATTTCACTTTTAATTACAACTAAGATTGTTAAGTGCATTGATGGCGTTAACCAGAGTTCTGATGTTAAGTTAACACTTTGTAACACATGAGACGGCTGCCCGTGCTGCACTTTATTCCTGTGCCCATTATGTACCATGTGTAAGGCAGCACATATTTTGGAAGATTGATTTTTATTTACGGAATTTGGTAATTTTATTTTATGCCTCAATACTATGCAACTCTCACTGGGCATATATATCATGACTTTTCTCTTTCATTAACAAATAAAATTTTGTATCTCAACTCTTAAAGATTTTTGTAATTCAGGGTCTCATCCATCTTGGTGAAGAGAAAAAAAAAAGTAACCATTACTTGAAGGAAAAACTGACAAATCCTTATCCATATTGTGATCTATGTACAGAGTTGAGGTAGAGGAGGTAGATCTTGCCCAATAGAGCTTTGGTCTTTTCTGGTTTTGGTCTGCCCCGAGGTAACCCTACATATATACCAGGACTGTCCGGAAAGTATCCAGCCATGTAACTATTCTCGTGATATTAACAACAGCTGGATATAGCTCTTATATATCTTATCTAATTACTGAATATATCCTACATTTCAATTGAAGCAGTAAATAATCATTGGCTATGATCTTTTTCAGCTGGATTCTGTAACAAAAATTCTTTTTTCTTTTTTCTTTTTCCAGGTGGGGGGAGAAAGTGAGGGAGTAAAAGCAACAAGATAAGAGACATTTCCTCAAATTTGCATCAAGATGGAAACCTTGTGCCTCAGGGCATCCTGTTGGCTGGTACTGGTTGGATGTGTAATCAGCGATAATCCTGAGAGATACAGTACAAATCTAAGCCATCATGTGGACGATTTCACCACTTTTCATGGGACAGAGATCAGCTTCCTGGTTACTACCCATCGACCCACTAATTTGGCCCTGCCCAGCAATGGCTCAATGCACAACTATTGCCCACAGCAGACTAAGATTACTTCTGCTTTCAAATACATTAACACTGTGATATCTTGTACTATTTTCATCGTGGGAATGGTGGGGAATGCAACTCTGCTCAGGATCATTTACCAGAACAAGTGTATGAGGAATGGCCCCAACGCGCTGATAGCCAGCCTTGCCCTTGGAGACCTTATCTATGTGGTCATTGATCTCCCTATCAATGTATTTAAGGTAGGAAATAACCACAAATGTATTTGCAGGTTTGAACACTTGCTCTGATTCCACACTGAGAGTCGCTGCAGACTTATCTAACCTTTGGAATTTTACCTGTGTTTTTATCGAAAGCTATTTCTGCTGTCTTAAGATTACTGAGCTTTAAGATTTTATTATTTGTTACGTGTTACACTTATTTTCCAACTTCATTGTTCACAAAATAGTATTTCAAGAATGACAGTTCAAAATCATGGTATTTCATGGATTGGATTCTTGTTGGTTGGATGGGTAGGTAGGCTTAGCCAGATCACTGATTTTTTGAGATTCAATTTCTAGGGTGAGATCTATTGAGTCCAGAAAGTACTTAAAATAAATATATCTTCAGTCTCTGTTACCTTTTTAATGTGATGCTATTCAGAAGCTAGACATCCACAATACAGCTTGAAATCAAAAGTACCTATTTTCTTTTGACTGGATGGCTGGTTAGAACTAAAGGTCATCCTGACATTTCTCAGTATCTGGTGACTTAGAGATAACAGAGTCCACGTGATAGCAGCCGGTATTAACCTCCTTGAGCGGTATTACTAACTGAAACCACTTAAAATAGGCCTACGTTACTGTTGTCTCCTTCATTTCTTCAGTTTACATTTATTGAGTGCCCACCCTAAGCCAGGCAATAAGGATCCAACAGCAAGTAAGACAAAGTTAATGCCTCAGTGGGAGAGGACGATAACTCACCCACCGTTACTGCGATCACCTTGCCATAGAGACTTTTTAGTACCAAAACAAACTCAAGCCAAAAGGAATTAGTTATTCCATATTTGGTCTAGTGGTTGTGAGGGGAAAATTGCTGCAAAAATTAAGATGTACTAAAGTTCAAATGAAATTGAATGATCTTTGCCAGATTTTATGAAATGTGTTTATTCTAAACCCCGGGGGAAGCACTTTCCTTGGCCTTTTTTTTTCTTCTGTGTATTATCCATAGAAACAAACTATTCTAGGAGGTAATATTCTGAAATATGACTTTAAATGACAAGTTTTGTCAATTGAAGACATGATACATTTTAAGTAGAACAGTAGTCTCTCAGGTTCCAGTAGGTATACTTAAACTGTGATGAAATTATATTAACCTGCTAGAAAAATCAAGGTCTAACAATAAAGATGAAAATAATGATGAAAACTTTGAACATTACAAATAAAAACATTTCAAAATTACAACAATACACTGTTTTCAAAATTGGGAAAATTAAACAACAAATAATCAAAAAATATTACCATTTCTTTCCACAGAATAGCATAAATACATGTGTTTTCTATTAGAACTTGAAATGGGAATTTAGAACCAAACTGTGATGCAAAATTGAGAATGTGTAATTAATTTAAAACATTTAGCATATGCTACAGAACTTTAATTTTTTCTTTTAAAAAGTTCTTAATTTTCTTTTTGTGAAATATTATGTGTACGCAGCATTTGACTTTCTCCTGACATTTCTCTTTTAATGATAGGTTTGAAAATGTTGACATGACTCTTACTCAAAATTTGACTCTCAGCTGTCACAGTGTGGAGTATTAAACATTGATTATTCATACCTATGAACTGGTTAACCAACTCATCATTGCTCAAGAGAATAATTAACCATCTCTGAATTAATAATTCCCTGCTGCTGTTCACTCTGAAGCATACTACATAGATTTGACCATATGCAAAGCATCTTCTTAGCAAACTAATATCCACAGCTGCTAGGATGGAGACCTGCTTATCTCTTTGAGGTGCTACTGCCAATCACCAGACTAAGCTTCATTTCCATTCCATAGGAACATTTTAAGTCAGATCATCTGGAATATCTCCAAATTTGGTGACAAGCCTAGTCAAACTTTGTTTTACATTCATCTAGGAATGGATAAAAATGAACACATCTTTATTTGACCATATGGCCTTCCTGGGAATCCAATACTTTATATACCTTACTGTAGTTCCAAATAATGGGGACAATTTGACTGCGGTATTTTTACGTCATAGGAGTACGTTTGTGTAATTCCTGTTTTTCTAAAACTCATGTAATGAGTCATTTAACCAATATTAATTTTAGAAAGTAAACCTTTTAGGCCAAAAAAAAAAAAATACTTTTTAGTCATTTCAATCTTCTTCCAGAATAAAAGAGGGAAAAAAGCATTGGAGTGTGCTAAAAAGCTTCCCAATATTTAGGGGCTATCTCCACGTCTTTCTGTCATCCTCTTCTCCAGGTCAGGAGACCAGAACGTGTTGCTATTCTTTTAACTTCTGCCCAGGTTAGTCGAGAGAAATCCTTCCAGGCAGTGTGAGCTCCAAGCCCCCAATCCTTTCCTCCACACCTGGCTCCCGCAGTAAGATCTGGCTGCTCTGGAGTCTCTCACATATCAGACCTGTGGACTCCTCTAAACAAGTCAAGTTCACTCCGTCTGTGCTGCAAGGCAAGGTAGCAGCTGTCCACCTCACCTTCCCATTATATATAGGTATCTATGAAATTAATATGTAGACTTGGAGAACATTCTATTCACTCTATTAAAGGTATGCATGAGCCTTCTTTATCTCTCAACTTTTAAAAGAATTAGGATGAAAGAAGAATGGTTGAAAGTATTCGCTATGCTCTTCAAAGAAAGATGAGTTTTCAAATTCCACATATTGTTGTGTTTAACAATTATATCACTTGCTTTTATGCTCAGTTCTAAGGTGTCTCCAGACAGAGAACATTGCGTTGAGTCATATCAGAGTCAGCGTACGTGGAAGTAAACAATGTGAAAAACAATGTGAAGATCTTGTCTCGGGGCAAGCCAGAATTGCTGATTAGACTGTAATAATGTTAGAAGGAAAATGAGAGGGCGTGATAAAGTCTTCTTTCTATTAACATTTTATTCTCCTTCTCTCACTTTGAAAGACATTGTGCTGAAACTGGTTCTTAGATCAATGTGATGCCAAACACAACAGAAAAGCAATGCAACAGGTATCAGCTGCATTATTTATGATCTGTCATTATCTTGTGCAGCTGGTGCTGGGTGGCTCTGGATGGTCTGTGGGCATGGGGGCGGGGATGGGGGGGTTGTCACGCCACACCTGGTGACAAATGAAAATCAGCATCTGAGAAAGTAAAATGTAAAGCAGAAGGAACCAAAGAAAGCAAATGAATGCCAGTTGCCTTCTTGGTTTTCGAACATACAAAGGTTTTGCAAATGGTAATGTTGAAGAAAAGCTTATCAAAAGAGAACTCTAATTTTTAGTTGTTCAAAAAAACAGATAATATCACTAATTGCAAGAGAAGACAGACAGAAACAGGAGGGATCCAGGGAAAGGGTTAGCCAACTCTTTTATATACCCGAGTTTATAACCTAAAATGGTGATGGGATCCAGTTTGTTAAGAAATTACATTATTTGATATTCTGAATTTTCAAGAAGAGTGAAAACTTGGCCAAATAAACTAATCTGTATATAAAATATTTATACTTGTTAGAATGGCAAAGCAACTAAAACATTGTCTCTGTGTTTGGGGACCGAAATAAATATCCAGTTCCTAAATGGCAAAATAGATTAGAAGTATAGAATTTAATAATTTTATTCATTAAGGATTCATGATATTATATCTATGCCATAGAGTGTTGTCCATAGGGAGATGGGTTATAATTCTGAGTAGAGTGGAAACCCTATAAGTGATGTCTGTACGTGGGCCAAGGCGTGGCACCCTGTAGTTTCAGGACAACAGCTCACCCATATGCACACAGACATCCCCATGAACCACTGTACTCGCCTCTTAAACAGAAACACGAATGTGGGGAAATACACCAATAAGAGAAATAGAGAGGATTAGAATGATGGCCATATGAAGAAGCAAGGAGTCCAGTGGCTTAGCGTGGACCCTTCTGACAGCAGTGATGCCGTAGATGACACTCTAGGTGAATCATGTCTCCATGTGGCAGAAAGAGGACCTGTGAGAACCACAGAATCCAGTAACTCTGTTGGTTACTAATTCTGCCCACTCTAAGCAACCACCTCTTATTGAGGACAAGGAAAAATAAACAAATACAATTTCTGTATGAAATTATCAGGCATATTTTGCAATGGGAAGTCAAGACTCTCAATGTGTTGCCCTGGCAGAGGATCTGAGCAATGTGGAAACCAGAGACATCCACCCAGAGCCAGTTATCTCCATATTCTCACAGCCTTTGATATCTTGTGCACTGGGGGCCATCCTTTTGGGACAGCCACACAAAAGTTGTTTCTGGGCCGGGCGC